TGTGAAGATATACAAATGGGTAATAAGCACATGAAAAAACGTTCAACATTACTGGAAAATGCAAATCAAAACCACAGTGAGATATCATTTCATAACCAGCAGGATGGCTATACTCAAAAGGAAGAACGAATATGGAGAAATTGCTGGTGGGAACGTAAAAGGGCACAGCCACTTTGAAAAATAGTCTAGCAGCTCCTCAAAAGGTTAAAAACAGAATTACCATGTGACCTAGCAATTCCATTTCTTTTTTTTTTTTTATGTTTACTTATTTCTGAGACAGAGAGAGACAGAGCATGAGTGGGGGAGGGGCAGAGAGAGAGGGAGACACAGAATCAGAAGCAGGCTCCAGGCTCTGAGCTGCCAGCACAGAGCCCGACGTGGGGCTCGAACTTACAAACCGTGAGATCATGACCTGAGCCGAAGCCGGACGCTCAACAGACCGAGCCACCCAGACGCCCCATAGCAATTCCATTTCTAATAAACAAATATCTAAGAGAATTGAAAACATATATCCACACAAAATCTTGCACACAAATGTTCACAGCAGCATTATGTATAAAACCCAAAAAGTGGAAACAGCCCAAAGTCCATTCATTGACAAATGAGAAACAAAATGTGGTATACCCATATAATGTAGTATTATTCACCCTAAGTCAAAGAAGCCAGACATGAAAGGTCACACACTGTATGATCCATTGCAATGACATGTCCGGAATAGGCCAATCTACAGAGACAGAGAGTAATGAGAAGAGATGGCTAATGGGCATGGGGTTTCTCCTTGGGATGATGAAAGTGTTTGGAATTAGTGGTGATAGCATCACAATTTTGTGAGTATACTTACAGCAATTAACTTATATACTTTAAAATGGTGAACTTTATGGAATGTGCATTAAATCTTTAAAAAGAAAGATTCATCTACATATCCACAATACTATCAACAAAATCAGGAAATTAACATTAATTTATTACTACCACGTAATCCTCAGACTTCATCCAAGTTTTTCTAAGTGTCCCAATATCATAAATGTAAACACACACACACACACACACACACACACACACACACACACACACCATCCAGTCCAGAATCACACACTATATGTAGTGGTCATGTCTTTTTGGTGTTCTTCAATTTCAAACAGTTCTTCAGTCTTTTAATTTTATGACCATGGATACTTTTGAAGATTACATGCCAGTTATTTTATAGAATGTCACTCAATTTGATTTTGCCTGATGTTTCCATATGACTAGATTCAGATCATGCATCTTTGGCAAGAATATCAGAGAAGTGATGCTATGTTCTTGCCACTGTATCTTGTCAGGTGGCACACAACTTTGATTTGTCCCATCACTGAAGATACTCACTCTATTTGACTAAGGTTGTTCACTGCTCCTTCACTGTAAAGTTATTTTTTCCTTTTAGAATTATTTTATGGTAAAGTACTTCAAAACTGTGTAAATTCAGCATCAAATTTTTAACTTATTCATTTACTTATGATCACTTATTGTTTCAATTATATATAGCTTATTATTTTAGTATGACTTCATAATTTCCCATTTTGTTCAATGGGTTATATGGTCAATGGGTTTGGTAACTATTATAAACTGTTACTATCAATATTTATTTTGATGCTCAAATTGTCCCAAATATGGCCCATGGGAGCCCCTTTAAGTTGGTTTCCAGTGTTCTTCTGACATGTGCCCATCATTCTTTTAGCTTTTCCATTCTTTCTAGCATAAAAAGATGTTCTAGGTTCATAATGTCCTTTTTTTCTGCCTCGGCCCTCTGAACAGCCCCAGTTCCTTTTATTATTTTTTTAAAGATTTTATTTTTGGGAGAGAGGGAAGATGGCGGAGTAGGAGGACGCTGGGCTCACCGCGCGTCCTGCTGATCACTTAGATTCCACCTACACCTGCCTAAATAACCCAGAAAACCGCCAGAGGATTAGCAGAACGGAGTCGCCGGAGCCAAGAGCAGACGAGAGGCCCACGGAAGAGGGTAGGAAGGGTGGCGAGGCGGTGCGCGCTCCACGGACTGGCGGGAGGGAGCCGGGGCGGAGGGGTGGCTCGCCGGCCAAGCAGAGCCCCCGAGTCTGGCTTGCAAAAGCGGAGGGGCCTGACAGACTGTGTTCCGACAACAAGCGCGACTTAGCGTCTGGGAGATCATAAGTTAACAGCTCTGCTCAGAAAGCGGG